ATGTATGGAGATAGGATTTAACTATGCAGTTTTCACCACTGAGCCAATTGGCAGCATCAGGATGGATGGTGAAGAGATTGAGACTGTTCACAGCTTTAGTTTGCTTGGCTCCACAGTCAACACTCTTGGCACCAGTAGCCAGGAAGTTAAAAGGTGTATTGCCATGGGAAAGTCTGCTGTTAGGGACCTCTCCAAACTACTGAAGAGCAATGGTGTCTCTCTGGAGACTAAGGTGCATTTGATATAGGCCATGGTCTTCACAATCACTTGTTATGCATCAGAGAGTTGGACAGTGACCAAGGAGGATAGAAGGAGAATTGATGCCTTTGAGCTGTGGTGCTAGAGGAGAATATTGAATGTACCATGGACTGCTAGGAAAACAAACAGATTCATCCTGGAGAGGGTTAAACTGGGTGGTTCCTTGGAGGCAAGGATTCTGAGACTCCGGCTAACATACTTTGGACATGTTGTAAGGAGAGACCAGTCCTTGGAGAAGGACATCATGCTTGGGAGGGTGGAGGGACAGCACAGGAGGGGAAGACCCTCTATGAGGTGGATTGATTCAGTGACTAGGGTAATCGGGATGGGAGTGTCAGAGACAGTACGATTGGCACAGGACAGAGCAGAGTTTAGGGCTATTGTACATAGGGTCGCTATGAGTCGCAAGCAACGACGGCACATAACAACAACAACAACAATGCAGTACTTCCTTGGTTTGTTCTGATGACTGCTTCCTTGTCCATGTATAACTGGTTGTCTTTAATTAAGTAAGGTAGATTATCCTCTGTAATGGGAATAGACCTCATCCATTCAGGTAAAGGCCTTAAGCAAAAATCATACTTTCCAAGATACTGTCTCAAAACTGTGACATACCTACAACCAGGAGAAGATAAATAGATGAATGGGATCTTCTAAGAATCAAATCCCTATGCACATCCAAAACCTTCTCCAACAGGGTAAAAAGGGAAGCCACAGACTGGTAAAAAGTATTTGGTAATGACATATCAGATAAGGGACTTATATCCAGAATTTATAAAATACTTGAGCACCACAACCAGATAAAGGTAAATAATCCAATAGAAAACGGTTTAAAAGGGATATGTGATTAGGGATTTTTGTCATGACAGGAGTCCAGAGCGAAGGCTGTATAGTGGAGTGGACCTGGGGGAGGGTTTGTAAAACAAGGAAAGAATTTTTCTTTTACTTTTCCAAGAGGGTAGTGTACTAGGGGGAAGGGTTGGGAGGGGAGAAAAATGCAACAATGAATGATTGGAAATCCAAAGCCTCTGTAAATTTTCATTGAAATGAATAATAAATTTGAAAAAAAAAGACTGTGACATAGATACCTTACTGACATTTCTAGCCTGCTTATCTCACAGATTTCAGGCTTATGTTTGTGGGTGATTTTGAGCCTTCTATAGGACTTAAAAGAAGTTCTGGTGGCTTAGTGGTAAGGTGTTGTGTTGCCAAACCAAAGGCACATAGTTCAAATTCACTAGCTGTTCTCTGGGAGAAAGTTGGGTGGGCAGTCTCTTCCAGTACGATTTATAGCCTCTGGAAACCCACTGAAGGCTCAGTTATGAGATTGTTCCGACCTGACGGTATATAACAACAATCTGACTTATGGATCTTGCTTTTGACTGGTCCTCATCATTGCATGAGCCAATTCCTTAAAATAAATCTTTCTCCAGTCTTTCATATTTCTAATCCAACATATTCTGAAACTCATCCTAATAAAGTTTGAAACGAGTATCTAATAAGATCCACCATGGAGACAGAGATGGTAGGTAGTGATAGGCAGAATTCCAAGATGACACCTAATGATTTATAATTAAGAAAAGAGCAGAATAAAACATTACAAAGAAATTCAGTTGAGAAAGTCAAGCAGGGTACTAATGAAATAGGCAAAGACCTGTAGTTAAAAAACCAAAAAAGAAGAACACACTTGGAATTTCTCAAGCTAAAAGAATTGAAGAACACATTCGGCCTTAATTTGCAATATTGAAGTATTATTTGTGCAAAATATTGAATGACATAGGAAACATCAAAAAAAGAAAAGGCCAAGTCACACGTTCTCTGTTTGACACCTGACCTTTATAGGAGGTAGCATTTGATTAATAACCAATGATACTGGAAGAAGCAGCTTAAGTTACACTGAAGGCACTGGAAAAAAATCAGGATCCAGGAATAAAGTATCAATTAAGATCTTTCAACAAACTGATGCAGTGCTAGACATGTTAATTGCCAAGAAATTTGACACAGAGTGACCAGCGCAACTAATTGAGAGATCCTAGTTGTGCCCATTGCAGAGAAAGATGGTGTTCCATAAATGATCAAACAATATCATTAACAATATGAAGTAAATTATCTCTTGCTGATGATAATTTGAAAATGGCTACAGTAGTACATCCACAGGGAACTGTCATAATTGAAGCTGGATTCAGAAGAAGATGATATCAAAGGGGGATATTGGATCTTGGCTGAAAGCAGAGAATAGCAGAAAAATGTTTACTTGTGTTTTTTTTTAAAATGAAAAAGCATTCAAATGCATGGATCTTAACAAATTATCAATCAGTAAGACTGGAGAATCAAATTCTGAAACATTTCTAATTATACTCATGCAGAATCTGTACAAAGACCAAGAAGCAGTCATTTAAACGAAACAAGGGGCAAAACTGAAGATCACAAAACGTGTGCATGAAGGTCACATCCTTTCACCATACTAATCTAATCTGCATGCTGACCAAATACTCCAAGAAGATGGACTATATATAAAGAGAACATACACTACGTTGGTAGGAGAAAGGAATGTGTTAATTAGGTAATTAACAACTCTTGTGGTATGCAGATAACACACTGTAGCTTGCAGAAAAAAGACTTGAAGCACCTTCCATACTCAAAGACTACAGCTCTCAGTATGGATTACATGTCAACATAGAGAAAAAGTCTCATTACTGAACCAGTAAGAAACATCATGATCAACAGAGAAAAGGCTGAAGTTATCAAGGATTTAATTTTACTTAGATCCACAATTTATACCTACGCATGCACAGGACAAGAAGCAGTGAAGAAATCAAAAGATGTATTGCATTTGGCAAAAGTGCTGCAAAGAATTTCTTTCAAGTGTAAAAAGCAAGAATGGTACTTTGAGGATAAGATTTGCTTGACTCAAAACAAGGTATTTTCTATTGCCTCTGAAATTGTGAAAGTTGGACAATAAATAAAGAAGGCCAAAGAAGAATTGATGCCTTTGAAATATAGTGCACCTCCACTACTTCAGTCACTGAGTCAGTGCATCTCATTAAGGGTCTTCCTCTCCTGTTCTGTCCTTTCACTCTCCCAAGCATAATGTCCTTCTCCAAGGACTGGTCTCTCCTGGCAATATGCCCAACGTATGTCAGGCAGGGCTTCAAAATCCTAGCCTCTAAGGAACAACTTGGTTTCACCCTCTCTAGGCTGAACTTGTTTTTTCTCCTAGCAGTCCATGCATGATATGTTCAATATTCTTCTCCAGAAAGATGAAAATCATAAACAATGACATATCATCTCATCCCAGCAACAATCAAGTTCATATGGTGCCAAAAAGGTAAACATCTGCCCTGGATGAAGTGCAGCTAGAATGTGTTTTAGAAGAAAGGATGGGGCGACTTTGTCTCATATGTTTGGGGCATGTTATTGGGGGATAGAATTATTTCTTGGAGAAAGACGTCAAGTTTGGTAAAGGAGAGAGTCTGTGAAAAAGGAGAAGATCCTCGGTAAGACAGACTGACACAGTGGCTGCAGCTCTGGCTTCAGCACGGCAGAGGGTGGCGCAACATGGGGCAGTCATACAGGTTCTGTCATATGTAGGGTTGCTATGAGTGGGATGGCACCTAACAGCGACTTAGTGTGAGTGGTACCTATGAGTGTCATGAGGTTGTTATGACATCATCTAAGACTAAAGAGATTGTCCTGCTGGCTTTCCAAGCAGGAAGCCATACTGTGAGAAGGCCATGTGACAAGGGCCTGAAGGAAACCTCTGAGAGAGGAGAGCCGGAAGAAAATAGAGACCTCAATTCTGCAACTGAAAGGAAGTGAATTCTACTAACAACCTGAACAAGCTTAGAAGAGGACCCAGAGTAACAGGTGAGGTATTCGTCCTGGTTAGGACCTTTACATCAATCTTGGGAGACTCTGAGCAGAACTAGGACGTCTAACCTGAGAAACTGTGAGATAATATATGACATTTAAGTCATTACGTTTCTGGTAGTTTTTTAATGTATTAATTGAAGACTAATACTGAGGTTGAGTCCCACTGAGAAAGCAGCTTTCAAATAAACCTTAGACTTTCCAACTCTACAAAAGTGCAAAACCAAGCCTAAAGAAGTGCAAATGATAAGCCAATAATCAAACTACCATTATTTAAGTTGTTGTGTACTGTTGAGATGGAATGGACCCATAGCTGACCCTCTAGCAGGTTTTCAGAGGCAGCTAATCAAACGAGAAGAGAATGCCCCTTCTTCTCCTGCAGAGCAGCTGGTGGATTCGAAATGAGTGCCTTCGGGATTGCAGAGCCACTTTTTGCCATTGGGCACAAGAGCTCCTATTTTTTTAGGTACTAGATGGGGGGTGGGAAAGCAGCTCTGGTAGCCTAATGGCAAGAGATTGCACTGCTGACCCAAACGCAAGCAGTTTCAATCCACCAGCTGCTCCGCAGGAGAAAGATGGGCAGCCTCCTCTTGTGCAATTAACAACTTCTGAAAACCTGCTGGAGGGTCAGCTGTGAGTTGGTTCCAATTTGACAGCCGCACATAACAACAGATGGAAAATGTTACACAGGAAAATGTGACCTACAGTCAAGGGAAAAAAGTGGCAACACAAATTAACCCTAAGATACCCCACATTTTGGATAAAAAAAGCAGCTATTAAAAATATGTTCAAGGTAGCAAAGGAAATGATGATCTTAATAACTTAAGATATAGAGAATCTCAGCAAAGAAACAGACACCACAGCTTTAATACCATTTTCCAACCTCAGGCTCTGCTGGCCTTGAATGTCAATCTCCCCTCTGACTTTCCCAATATTTCCTTTAACTTCTTCATTGACTTGTAGGCTGTGGAAAGGTTCCCCTGGACAAGCCACCAAACGGTTACAGGACAAAGAACAAGAACTGGAGCAGTTGACGAAGGAGCTGCGGCAAGTCAACCTCCAGCAGTTTATCCAGCAGACAGGGACAAAAGTCACCGTCTTGCCAGCAGAGCCCATTGAAGTAGAGGCCTCCCATGCAAACATAGAAAGGGAGGCACCATTCCAGTCTGGGTCCCTGAAGCAGCCAGGTTCATCACGGCACCTCCCCAGTAATCTTCGTATTCTACAAAATCCTATTTCATCTGGTTTTAATCCTGAAGGCATATATGTATAACATCATGTCTTTGGGAGAGAGACCCAATGAAGATACCAAGGACAGTAAAAATTCCTTTGATTTGTGCAAATGATGAACAGAGGAGGTATTTCACAAGCCACTGTATCTTTCTGTCCTAAACTGCATACCACTTGGAGCCATACCCTGTGCACTGATGCTAAAGAACAAAGAAACTGTTTTCACACTTCAACAGTGTTGACCTTTCTGTCCAGCAGCTGTAATGCAAGGCCTTCATTTTGATTTGTAGCATTTTTGAGAGCATTTAGGAAAAGTATTATTCTACGTGGATACATAAATAAAAGTGATTTTTAAAAGTGAAAAAAAAAAAAAAAAAGAAGAAACAGACACCAATAGAAGAGAACTAAATGGAAGCTCTAGAACGAAAAAGTATATACAGGGTTATTATCTCAGATTTCTAGGCCAAAAGTTCAAAATCAGTTTTCATGGGTCAAAACTAAGATGTCACTAGGATGTCCCTAGGGAAGCTTTAGGGGGATGGACCCATAGCTGACCCTCTAGTGAGTTTTCAGAGGCAGCTAATTAATAGCTAATTAATAGCACTGACATTCCTTAGTCACTACAAATACTGTCTTCATCTTTACATCATTTTCTACTCTTACATCATAATTCTAGTCTAGAGACTAAAGGTGCCTGATCTAGGCCATGGTCTTTGCAATTATGTGCTATGCATCAGAAAGCTGGACCATGTCTAAGATGATAGAATTGATGCCTTTGAGCTGTGGTGCTGGGGAAGAGTATTAAATATACCATGGACTGCTAGGAGAACAAACAGGTTTGTCCTAGAGAGGGTTAAATCAGGCTGCTCCTTGGAGTCAAGGATTCTGAAGCTTTGTCTGACATACTTTGGGCATGTTGCATGGTGGAACCAGTCCTTGGAGAGGGACATCATGCTTGGGAGGGTGGAGAGACAGCTCAGGAGAGGAACACCCTCAATAAGATGGATTGATTCAGTGATTAGGGTAATAGGGTAGATGTGTCAAGACAGTAATGTTGGCTCAGGACAGAGTGGGGTTCAGAGTTTTTGTTCATAGTATCACTATGAGTTGCCAGTGACTTGAGGGCACATAACAACAACACAAGGCTATTTCCAGTGGCATTTAGGACTCACTCATGTAATTCATGGTAACCTTCTCACCTTGAGATCTTTAATCAAATCTGCAAAAACTGCTTACCTAAATAAATTAAACATTTACAGATTCTGGGAATTAGGAGGTGGACATACCTTTGGGGATCACCAGTTAGTCCACTAAATTCAAAAGGAGATTGTAAACAGCAAATTTCTCTCTTAAAAAGACTAAAGGAAAGAGAGAAAATGCTCCCAAATATTTGTGAATAGACCTTTTTTTCTCTCTCCAAAAGGACAGGAGGTACTTCCTTACCTGTTTGCTTTCTGTTGCCTGGGTCTCTTTCTCAACAATGGTTTGAACATTAATGGGTCCTACTTTTTCAGGAGCAACTGACTGCACTTGTCTTTCTGATGGTTCTGAAGATGCTGGAGCTGGCACAGGTTCATGCTCCTCTGTATGTATTTTCTCCGCTGCTCTATCTTTTCCTGTTACATCGCTTTGCTCAGAGCTTTCCGATTCTTCAGGAATGGGCTCGTGTTCTTCCCCTTGCTATAGCAAGAAAACAACATTACTAGTTTAGAGAATGAAAATGCTTATCATTCCTAATGCAGAGTAAATAACCATTAGGTCTACACTTCTCATTTCTAAATTTCAATATTAAACACGATGGGGCCATACGCTTCCTACATAAAAATGAATCATGACTAATGCATGAGACAGAAAACCTGGATTAAGAAGGCCCAATTAAATATTCCCAAATAGTTCACTCTCCCTCTGTAAATCACCACCCAGACATATTAAAAGAAGGTGAAGGAAATGGAATATACTTTTCATTTTATTATCAGAATGTTTTTTCTTCTTAAATATACCTATTTCTCCCTAATGTCCCTCCAGAACATTCTCTCTCTACTCTAAATGTTATTATTTGCCATCGAGGCAGAAATGACCCACCAGCGGGTTTTCATTGGCAGTTTAATCACACAGGAGATTGCTAGTCCTCTCTCCCGTGGTGCTGTTGGTGGATTCGAACTGCCTATGGTATTGCAACACAGCTTCTTACTATTAGACCACCAGAGCTCCTTCTACCTACGTAGATCTAATCTAAATAGGGTATAACAGGTCTTACAAATAAAGGTAGAAGAGAGAGATTTCTACATACCTTTTTTGCATGATTTTTTATAGATGGTTCATTTCCATTTGCATCATTTTCAGAAGTATTTGGACTGTACCAAAGAACAAGCCATCAATATGTTGTACACATTACACTTTTATTCATTAATATCTTCTACAAGTGCTCGTCTAAGATCAAACCATGTTCACCTTAATGAAGAGAACATTTGATGGGGAGGCCTGCACCTTTCCAGGTTTACTGGCTATCTCCTGCATCTTCACCTACCCAGAGTATGTCAGTCAATCTATCCTGGTCGGACAGGTAGTCTCACTCCTGTGTACTTGTGGTCATGTCTGAGAAATGCACTGTTCTCAATACGCTCGTTCATAATTAAGGTTTGTCGTTGTCGTCAGTTGCTGTTGAGGGGATTCCAGCACACGGCCACATCATGTGTGCAGAGCAGAACGGCTCCATGGGGTTTTCAGCAGGCCTACAATCCTAAGCACTTCTGGAAGGCATGAGCCACCTCCCTTCCACCTAGCACTAGGACTCCTAAAGTCCTTTACTAGGTGATAATAAAATGTCTTTTGTCTATGTAAACAGATAAAATAATCCTAACTTCTGGTGGGCAATGAGAATTCTTTTATCTTTAAACTCAATACAACAAATACAGTGCAGAAGGGGAAGACCCTCCATGAGGTGGACTGATTCAATGACTGGGATAATCGGGATAGGAGTGTCAGAGACAGTGCGATTGGCACAGGACAGAGCAGAGTTTAGGGCTGTTGTACATAGGGTCGCTATCAGTTGCAAGCGACTCAATGGCATATAACAACAAACTTATTATGAAAGTTGTGCTAAATAAATTACTTGAAAACTGAGTTCATTGCTTAGACCAAAGACCCCAAGTGAGTGTAGAGTGATGAGTTAGTAAAGTATTTGACAGAGAAGAGGTAGGTACATGGCAAGGGTGGTAGTAGGAAAGGGATTAAGGGTGGCAACCGAGCTGACTTTTGATAACTCTTGTCCAGGCACAAGGGGCTCTGGTGGTGTAGTGTTAGATGTCACACTAAAGAAAAGGTTGTTATTGCTAGGTGTCATCAAGTAGAGTATTACTCAGCGACCCTATCAACAACAGATCTCAACCCTACCCTGTTCTGTGTCATCCTCATTCTCCCTGACACAACTGAGTTCATTGCCACAGACACTATCAATCCATCTCTTGGAACGTTGTCTTCTCTTTTGCTGACCTTCCACCTTTCCACACATGATGTTCCTCTCCAAGTAATAGCCTCTTCTAGCAACATGCCCGAAGTATGTGAGACAAAGCTTCGCTGTGTCTGTCCCCAAATAGAGCTATGGTTGCAATTTTTCCAAGACATATGTTTGTTCTTTCTGCAGTTCATGGCATACTCAGCATTTTTCTCCAACATCACAATTCAATGGCATCGATTCTTCTTCTGTCATTCTTACTCATTGTCCAGGTTTCAGCTGCAAAACAAGTGACTGGAGAGATTGTGGCTTGAATCTGGTGCACTTTAATCTTTAAACTGACATCATTGCTCTTCAGAACTTTAGAGGGGTCCCTGAACAGTACACTTTTCCATGGTTATACGTCTCCAGATCTCCTGACTGCTGGTACCCACGTTGTTCATTGTGTGTGAGGTTGGCTCAGGATATAAGGGCAAGGCTCAGAGCCATTGTTCATAGGGTCACTATGAGTCATAGTCAACTTTACAGCACGTAACAACAACCACCACCACCTTAAAAACAACCTCTTCTAACACAGCCTCAACAGCTACTTAACTCAAGGATCCAAACTGGAGCAGGGGCCTTTAACCATGCACAGTCAATGAGGGGTCCCTTCAAGGCTTCGTGGTAAGACTACATAACTGTAAAGTGATAATAAGACATGCATTTCAGAAAGATCAGTCCAGGCACTGGAAAAAAGGATAAGTGAATCAGAGGGAAGAGGAGAAGTCAGAAAATAAGGAGGCAGAAAAGAAAGCATTGCAGGAATGCTAGTGAAGGTCAGTGTAAAAACCACTGCTGCTGCAGAATGGTATGGAAACATGGAAAGGAATGGGATTTTTGAGATATTCAAAGTCAGAGAAAATTGAATTTGCAATCTAGTTTTTCAAGGCGTGAGAAAAGAATGAGTCCCGGGACCGAGTAAACAAGTGTTAACCTAGAGAACACAAAAGGAGCTGGCTGACACCAGCTGAGGCCAGAACGAAATGAGCCTGCCTTTGTCTGTGTTGTACCCTAGGCATGTGTGAGCATCTAGGAGAATCTGACCAGTAGACAGGGCGTGTTAGATCTCAAGGACAAGGCTAAACAGGAGTAACAAATTTGGAAAGATCGTTAAAACTACAGGAGTGAAATCGGAGGTAATGGGCAGAGGAGAAGGTGGAGAGCAAAGACAAGACAGGAAAATGCCCAGAAATAAGGAAATGCACATCCCTCGTGACTATTTGGAAACTTGGATGCTGGTTTTTCCAAGAGTCCTAGGAAATGTTGTTGATCAATCTCTTTCTCTCCTCCTACTGCTCCCCAGTACACCCCTTCTACCCTGACTTCCTTCTTCCCCCCTTTTATTATTAATTTTAATGAAAATTTACAGACTTTGGATTTCCATTCATTCATTGTTGCACTTTTCTCTCTGCCCATGCCTCCCCTTGAGTTTGTTCTTCTCTTTGAAAAGTAAAAGAAAAATTCTTTCATTGTTATTCAATACCTCCCCCTAAGTCCACTCCACTATGCAGCCTTTGTTCTAGACTCCTGTCATGACAATAATACCTAATCATATATACGTTTTATATAGTTCTCTCTCTTATCCGTTTCAATGCAGTAGACATAATTTATCCCATCTTTCTCAGTCTCCCCCACTAATCTGACTTTCATCTATGTCCTCCATATACAAACTTTGTCCGAGCTACCCAAACGATACCTCTTATTTTCACTTACTACACCACCAAGACAGCTTTCACCAATGTTATCAAGAATATCCATGCAGCAATGTCAGTCCTTACCTTTCATGTCTCCTCAGCCCACAGGACCTTCCTACTACTCTCTTAAAGAGCTCTGGTGGCACAGTGGTTAATTACGTGGGTGTTAATTGAAAAGTCAGCGATTCAAACTTCCCCTGGGAGGACGATGTGGCTACCTGCTTCCACAAACAGTACAACCTCGGAAACCCTACAGGGCAGTTGTATCTGTCCTATGGGGCCATGAGTTAGAATTGACTCTATGGGAACAGGAATGGAAATACTCTCCTAACTCCCCTCCTGTGACTAAACAGTCTCCTGGTTGTCTTTCCTCCCGTCTGGTCATGTTCTTTTCACTCTTCTGCAGGTTCCTTCTCCTCTATCCAGACTGGAGATGTAGGAGTTTCTCAAGGGTTGGTCTTAGATGCTTGTCTTTTCTCAGATTATATTCTCTACTTGCATGATCGCTGCCTAAAGCTTTATTCCACCTACATGCAAATAATTTAAGTCTTAATCCAGCTCAGACCTGTCTTAAGCTTCAGGCTAAGATATACAGTGGTCACCTTAACACCACTACACTAAACTTACCATCAACCCTGAAAACTTAGTCTTCTTCCAGAAACCCCTACTTTAGTGTATAGCACCAGTGTCACCCACTAATACCAGCCAGAAACTCCGGAGTTACCCTTAACAGCAATCCCTCCCCACCCTACTATCCTATCCACCACTAAACCCTGCTGACTTGCTTCCTATTTCTTGAACCTGTCTACTTCTGTCTTCATCACGCTAGTCCTCCCTGCTTCCAAATGGGTCTACCCATTCCATCCATTCCTCTCGCAAACTTATACACAGTAGGTATAGTGATAATTTTTAAATGCACCTTCTATTTAAGATTCCACAATAGCTCTTAATGGCAGAACTCTCTGCCTTATTTATTACCAGGATTCCATATGGCTACAAATAGTAGAAACCTCCTTTCCATAAATGGTTTAAACACAGTTTTCCTCTCAGCACAACTCTAAAGGGAACTCAGCACTGAAACAGCACTTGTGTCATCATCAAACACTCAGATCTCTTTTATCTTACTGCTCCGTCTTCTCAGTATGCTTCTTCGTGGTCCAAAATGCATAGTGAATAAGAATGTATGGTCCCATCTTCCCCCTGCACTGCATACTTTCTGAAGTTACTTGTCAGAGTGTGGAGCATGGGGCTCCCACCATAGATGAATATGTGTAAGTGTTATCTGGCTATTTTGGAAAACAAAGGTCCTTTGATTGCTCAGTAATTTCAGGGGTTACTATCAGGAACCAGAGGAAAAAGGCCAGAACAGGACCATTTTTTAACCTATGGCAAAGCCCCACAAGATTGGTAACACTGTGGTAACAAGGTTGGAGGACAAACAAATCCCAAACTATTCTTGATGTCAATTCCAACACATTTGACCCTGCATCGAGTTTCTGAGCCTATGAATCTTAACAAGAGGAGATTCATTACCCATCAACAGCTGGTGGGTTTGAACTCATGGCCTTTCTGTTAGCAGTCCAACACAGCCTACTGTGCCACCTGACCTTACAGGGAAAACAGGCACTCGAAAGCTAGTGGAACTACGTTGCTGCTAGTTGCCCTTGAGTTGATTCCGCTCATGGGAACATCATGTACACAGAATAGAACCGTGCCCCACAGAGTTTTGAAGCTCGAGATGTTTTTATAATCTAAGCTCTGGGTTGCTAGCCTATGTCAGCACTTTGAATCAACCAGTCACCCCAAAGGACAAAGACGAGGCAGCCTGCTCCCATAAGGAGTCACAGGCTCAGAAATCCTTTGGGGCAGATCTGCTCAGTCCTATAGGGTTGCTGTGAGTTGGAACTGACTGGACAGTAGCGAATTTCTAGCTATTTTACTTCATAGTTAAATTATTTCACAGGCATGTTTACTAGAACAATCAGGTGTACTTTATGTGAGTTATTATAATTAAGGTCAATTGTTTTAAATTCACATTTTCACTTCTAAGTTCTCTTGAGGAAAAGATACAAGTCAACTCAAAATATCTTTTAAAAAAGTTTTCCTTTAAAATCTCTCATCTTACAGAGCTCCTCAGAAATCCCATCAGTGATAAGTAAACAAATGTTTGAAGCATAACTACCTCCTTCCTGCTGCTTTTTCTTGAGAAGTTGAAGGGACAGATGATCCAGCTTGCTTGGTGAATTCGTCCCCGTCGGCATATATAGCAGTGCTGTGTAAAAGAGGAGCTGCAAAACAAGGGCAATTTTTGAAGGCTGCCTGTTTGGCAGCACATCTACCCCTGGCTTATCAACTTTTTCATTATATACACACTCGTGGCAGTTGTAGAAAATCTAATCTTTTGCATAGTAACTATCTACGTTTTGGACTAATGAATGCTGACGTGCAAGGTGATAGTCATATTGGCTGTGATGGTTAAAGTTATACACCAACTTGGCTGGGTCATGACTCTCAGCAGTTTGGGAGTTATTTTCTACTTTCTGATTTAATGTGGTCATCCCTCCTTTTTTGAATAATGTTGATTTCCTAATAATAATGTGTCTTTGGAACCTAACCTTGAAGGTAATTAAGAAATGGGTAATATATAAATTTATTCCCTGAGGAATGGGTATACATAAATTTATTCCCTCACAACAGAATACAAAACATCCTTTGCATAAATGGCTCACAAAATCAAAATCAATGATGCAGTCACTTCCCAAGTGTTTTCATTTCACACTACAATCATAAGACGTTTAGACCATATCACTAATAGACACGAGCCCTGGTTACGGGGTCTGTAGTGTGATGGGGCTGTTAACCCAATGGCTCTGTGTCTGGGACAATCCCAAGCCACAAGCAGCTCCACTGGAGAAAGATGGACTGTCCACTCCTGTTGTGATTAACAGCCTCAGAAACCCAACGGGGGGTTGATATAAGTCGGAACTTACTCAAACAGCAGTGAGTTTGAATTTATTTGGAGATTATAAATGTATTACTATACTTAGAAGCCCTGATAGTATGATGGTTAGAGTACTTGGCTGCTAACTGAAAGGTCAGCAGTTCAAATTCCTCAACCGCTCTAAGGGAGAAAGACATGGCAATCTGCTTCAGAGACCACCGCATCAATTATAAGGTCAGCAGGCTTAGAGTATATACTCTAAGAGGGCCCACCCCTCTGACTCTTAACACCTCACAAAGTGCTTAGGGTACAGTGGCACTTGGTGTGTGAGAGAATGGCCTCACCCAATGTGGGATTCCAGTCATCCCACACTTCCTATTCTTTATTCGGGATTGCTAGTCTTTGCTGTTTGCAGTCCAGTCAGTTTTGCCTTATAGTGATTCCATTGCCAGAGTAAAAATGCCCCACAGGGTTTTCTCAGCTGTTATCTCCCAGAGCTGACTGCCAGGTCTTCCTCCCTGTGAACTCATTGGTGGGTGATTTCATGCATCAGGGAGCTGGACAATGACCAAAGATGACAGAAGAATTGATGCCTTTGAGTCATGGTCCAGGAGAAGAGTATTGAATGACTGCCAAGAGAACTAATAGATGTCTTGGAGAGGGTGAAACCCAGCTGTTCCTTGGAGGCAAGAATTTTGAGGCTTTGTCTCACAAATTTCAGGCATGTTGCCGGGGGGACCAGTCCTTGGAGGAAGGGTTATCATGCTTCGAAGGGTGGAGGGACAGTGCAGGAGAAGAAGACCCCGAATGAGATAGACTGACACAGTAACTGGGGTATGATGGTTGGTGACACTGGCTCTGGGTAGTGCAGGCTTCAGAGCTACTGTGCATAGGGTCACTGTGAGCTATAGTCAATTCATAACAACAACAAAAAGCAGCTTTCAGTTAGCAGCCAACTCTTAGTCATGGTACTGACAGGGCTTGGCTATGGCCATCAATTAGCATAAACATTTTAATGTAAGGGAGAAAGGAGATGACAGGCTTGCACCTAAGAAGGAGGAGACGAAGGAGCTTTTGGGGGAAAGGCATATAAGACTGAAGTGAAAAGAGGATACATTAACAGAAGAAACCATACTTGCTCAAGAAAGAGGAATAACAAGGCGTAGGCTCACTAGGGTGGACAGACAGCTAGGGAGGAGAACCGGAGGGCCCAGGAGGGTCTGGTTGGGTACTAGCAACGGCAGGGCTGAACTGCTACGGGAAGCAAGAAACAAAGAACCATTTCTCCATGCTCAAATTTTAGCATAGGAGTGCAGATTTAAAGGTGTGGGTTGTTTTCCTCCTTCATATCAGCCACACAGATTTAAAGTTAGTGCCAAAAACAGTAAGTCCTAAGCATCAATGGACCTTGAGATTCTCTATTTCTGTGACCCTGAAACCAGGGGAACTAGGGGATACCTGGTTACCAGTGCTCTGATATGACCACTCTGAAAAGGATCACAGTGTAAGATCCTGGAGAGAGTGGAAATAAACGTAGAACAAAACTCAGAACAACATGGAGCAGGCTCATAGGCCTCATGGAGACTGGTGCAGCCCCCAGGATGAAGGGCCTTTGCTGCCAGGAACTGAATGTACTCCTGGGCCACCACTTTCAGATAAATAGACAAGGTGAACAGGAACTCCAGGAGGTACTCCGTACTTAGAATACTCAACCCCAAAAGGGTCATGAGGGCAGCGTTTGTCTAAAGAAAAAACCCAGAAGGTAGGAAGAGTGAGAAAAGAAATAGCAGACTCTTTTAATCCCCCCTCAACTGTTGTTGTTATATGCCATCTAATCGCCTGCTTCAGCAGCTCTGAAGCCTGCCCCGTCCTGAGCCAGTCTCACTGTCTCCAACACACTTACCCCCGTTGCCCCAGTCACTGAGTCAATCCATCTCATCTGGGCTCTTCCTCTCCTGTGCTGTCCCTCCACCCTTCCGAGCACGATGGTAAACTCCAAAGACTAGTCCCTCCTGGAAACATGCCCAAAGTATGTGAGATGGAACTTCAAGATCCTTGTCTCCAGGAAGCAACTTGGTTTTACCCTCTCAACAAGGAAAAGGCATTTATTTAATGATGGAATAACAAGAAGTTCTGATGGCCTAGTCCAGAGGGAGCTGTGCTGCTAACCCCAAGGCTATGCCCCTGTAATGGTTCAAATCCACGAGCTCCACGGGAGAAAGATGGGCAATCTCGTCCTGTGCGGTTGAGAGCCTCGGAAACCCAGCAAGGCTATGCTATGAGTTGGTTTCAGCTTCACGACAAGGAGTTTGCATTTGTTGACTGAATAACAAGAGAGAAAAGAAGAAATAGAGCAATTCCAAATCTCTCTATGTAACTAATCACACAGGCATTTACAACTGAATAAATGATAAGACAAGACAACCAAAAAACCAAACCCACTTCAGCTGATTCCAACTCATGGCAACCCTCCATTATGCTTCTGAAGCTGTCATTTTTATGGAAGAATAAAAAAGATCAAATTATGAATTGAATTTTGGTGTTTGTGATGAATACTGAATAAACTATGGACATCAGAACAAATAAATCTGTTTTGGAAGGAATATAGCCAGGACACTCATTAGAAGCAAGGACGAGGAGATTTCATCTCATTTTGGAAAGGACAAGTTCCTAGACCCCATGCTTCAAAGTAGAGCCAATGGAGAAAAATGAGGATCTTCAATAATATGGACTGACACAACAGTAATAAGGGGTGCAAACACAGCAAATATTTTGAGTATGTCATAGTGTTTCATTCTGCTGCACACAGGGTCGCTGTCAGTTAGGCACCTAACCACCTGTTACATAGCAGTAGTACAGTAGGTAGGTGTGTAAGGGTTCCACTTTGATACTGTGAAGATTTTTACTTCCAACCTGAGTCCCTTAGTGTCACAAATGGTTAAGGGCTCAACTATAGTAGACAAGCTTTTTTAATTCATCTAAGAGGTATCCTAGAAGGCAAGCCTGGCAATCACTTCTTAAAGATTGTAACCCAGAAAACCCCAGAGGTTGCCCTGAGTCAGAATCAAATAGATAACAGCAGTTCTAATGCATTTACCTACAAGCAAACTTAATGCTATTGAATCAATTCCAACTCCTAGAGCCCTTATATGGCAGAGCAGAACTGCCCCATGGACTTTCGAAGCTGTGGCCTAGTGGCAAGAAGCTGTGCTGCAATCACAAAGGCACGCAGTTCAAATCTCACCAGCGGCTCTGCGGGAGGATGGGCAATCCTCCTCCCATATGGTTAACTGCCTCTGAAAACCCGCTGGAGGGTCAGGTATGGGTCGGTTCCAACCCTGCGATACACAACATATCTTTAGGGAATTGGACTGTCTCATCATTCCATCTAGCACAGAGGAGGAGCTGACAGATTAAAACTGACATTTAGGTTAGTAGTGTAACACTTAATCCTTTATAGCACCAGGGCTGCTGCCATTGTATCTCACTCCTGCCATCGAGGAGGCTCTGAGTCGCAGTGATCCTCCACTGGGTTTCTGAGACTGTAAATCTTAAGGGGAGGAGCCTGTCCATTTTTTTTCCCATAGAGCACCTGGTGGCTTGAAACTACTAGAGACGTGAAGCCTTTGCATTGGCAGTACAATTCACTGTAGACTATGCCAAAGAATATGTATTTTAAAGTGATTTTTATACTTTTATGTAGCTGTTGTACTTATTATTAATATGCAGCCTAAATGCTGCTGTAGTGTGAGGATTTCAAATACTAACCAAAGGTCTCATAAACTTCTTCGTCTTGCTCCTTTTCACGCAGGTTGCCAACGCAGGAGGCATCAGATTTATCGGGAAACTCAAATACATCAAGAGGCGTGTGCTTTTGATCAGCTTTCTAAAAAGTAATAAAGTCAAAGTTTTTTGGTTTTTTTTTTTTTAAATTTAGGTTGTTTATTTTTCATTTCAATGAACATCTACAGAGATTTTGGGATTCCATTCATTCATTGTTGCACCCTTCTCCCCGCACAAACCCCTCCCCCCTCCCCCCATTTGCTCCTCTCCTTGAAAAGCAAAACTCCCTCATTGGTACACAATCCCCCCCCACCTCCCCAAACTCCACCCCCTACCCCCAAATATAATCCACTCTGCAACCCTCATTGCATAGTCAAAGTTTTTAAAATGGGCTCTAAGTAAGCAAAGAATATTACAAAGCAGCATCTGTTTTCAAAAACATGCCTGCTGCTCCGCTACTGCTTAGAGGAGAGATCCTTACCGCTCTTGGAGGGGTAGAACTTGGGAGCGATCAGCACTTTCCTACTACGATGGGCCAGAGAGTGAACATTTTCACTTATGCTGGCCAGTGGGTTTCTGATGTAACTATGCATCTCAGTCACCACAGTGTGAAAGCAGGCAGTGTCAATACAGAAAGAATGACTATGGCTGTCGTCCTCTAAGACTCTATCTACTGAAATTTGCATTTCCTTTAATTTTCACATGGTGTGAGACATTCTTCTTTTGACTTCCTGGAACCATTAAAAAATGAGGAAAGCATTTTGAGCTTATAGGCTTGTAGATAAACAAACCAAAGGAAAAAAAGAGAGCTGGATTTGGTTTGAAGATAGTAGTTTACCAATCCATGATAAAAAGGAAAACTAGGTCCCTTCACCTGGAAGAATGCCTGTATACCCAAGAACTGATAAAATGTATGTGTAGATACAGGTATAAGAATCCTAACTGACAGAGAGAGCCACAGGTTTAGAGTTCAACACATTTATAAGCCCAGGAAGTTTTCTTTCTTTCTATAACAAGTCCTATGAAAAGACCAAAGCGTGTATAAGAAAAATTCCATAGTAGTTCTGGAAAATGTTTTTACTAACAGATGAGGAAATATGAAAAATATAAAGCTAATGGAACAAAATTGACACCACCAAAACTATCACCATTCAGATTCTTACTGACACAATCATTCGTGGAGGACATGGGAGGAGAACTCCAAAGAAGGACTGACAGACTGAGGTATCTATAAGGAATAAGGATAGACCAGTGTGATGCAGTGGAGGGGGCAAAAACAAGCTAAAGGAAACTGGGCTTAGGAAAATTCCTTCATGGCGAAATGCACCTTTGCTACCTACAAAAGGAGAGGAAGCAGGGCAGGAGAGCAGAGGAACGAACTTCAAGAGAGCAAGTAAGTTAAGGCTGGGGAGCCAGGACCTGAGAAAACCCTCCCTCCTGCTAACACTGCTCCACCAAGAGCCTTAGTAGGCCAGGAGAGGGTGTCTTGTGCCATTTTGTTTGTATTCCTGATTGTCTTCACAGTTTGCCATAAAGGTACAACACCAATGTGTCAGTTGTTGTATGGGGGATTGATTTGCATGCTGTTAATTACTTTATGGATGACTGTTTATTGGCTTGCTTATTATTTGCTCTTATCAATGCAGCACTTTTATGTTAGTCCACTGTTGTAGTATAATCTGTGTGTTGCTGTGATGCCAGAAACTATGTCACCAATATGTCAAATGCCAGAAGAATCAAGTAGGTTGCACCAGAATTCCTAGATTAAGACAGACTTGGAAGCAGGATTATCCACTTCTGAAATAGCAGGCCTTGGAAGACCCTATGAACAACAGAGAGAAGCAGGTAGTGGTAGTATTAGAGGTAGAGCTTAGATGGGAAATCACGCAATTATGAGGAAACACAGCTGCAAACAATCATTAATAACTTGAACGTGGAATGTACAAACTATGAATGAAGGAAAACTGGGAGCTGTCAAAAATGGTATGCGTAAAGATCGACATTCAAGGCATTTGTTGTTGATTGCCTTCGAGTTGAGCACAACTCACAGCGACCCTATGAACAAAAGGCCTGAAGCCCCTCTACAACTATGGACATTTATCAAAGTTCATAGAGTTTCCGGAGGCATGTTGTTTAGGAAGTGAATGCCACTTCTGCTTCCAATTCTAGGCATTAGTCAACTGAAATGGGCTGTCATGGGCCACTTTGAATCAGACAATTATATAGTCTACTATACTGGGATGAAAAACTGAGGAAGCATGGTGTGACATTCATAGTGAAGAGGACAATATCAAGTACTATCCTAAAGTACAATGTTGTGAGTGATAGGATTATATGCATACAAGGCAGATTTATTACACAACTATTATTCAAATATATGCACCAACAATTAAAGCCAAAGAGGAAGAAATTGAGGGCTTCTACTTTTACAGTCAGAAACTGATCAAACATGCAATCAAGATGCATTGATAATTACTGAAGACTCGAATGTAAAGTTGGAAACAACAAGGAAGGAAAGTACAAACTTGGTGACAGAAATGGGGCGGGAGAGCAGCAAATGACTATATTTTGTACATTTAATAATTTGTTCACAGCAAACACTTTTTAAAGAAACACAAATGTCTGCTTTACTCATGGACCTCATCTGATGACCAGCACATGAATCAGATTGACTCTATCTGTGGAAAGAATTGTGGGAGAAGGTCAGTATCAAGAGTCAGAACCAGATTAGGTGCTGACTGTGGAACAGACCATCAAGTAAATACTCATGTGCAAGTACAAATTTAAGATGATTAAAACATATCCATAAGCAGCAAAATATGACCTTGAGTTTATTCCACCTGATTTAAAAAATCATGTTTGAGACAAAGGAAGAAGTTCAAAGTGTGTTGAAGACACTGACAAAAAAGATAAAGATCCAGGAATAGAGGAGATATCAATTGGCATATGTCAACTAATAGATGCAACCCTGAACATGCTCACCAGTCTCTGTCAGGAAGTTTGGAGGACAGCTGACTGACTGACAGGAAGAGATGCATATTTGTTCCCATTTCTGAGAAAGATGATCTAACAGAATATGGAAATTATCAAACAGTATCATTAATATCACAAGCAAGCAAAATATTGCTGGAGATCATCCAAAAATGACTAGAACAATACATTGGCAGGGAACTGCCAGAAGTTAGAGCTGGCTTTAGAAGAGGCTGTGGTACCAGGGATATCATTGCTGATGTCAGATGGATCCTGGCTGAAAGCAGAGTATCAGAAGAATGTGTGTTTTATCAAGTATGTAAAGATATTTGACTGTCTAGATCACAATAAACATTGGCTAACACTGAGAAGAATGGAAATCCCAGAATTTTTAATTGTACTTATAAAAAAGTCTGTATCTAGATCAAGAAGCTATTGTCTGAACAGAACAAGGGTTTAAAATTGGGAAGGGTTGCATCTTTTTACCCCCTCTCTTTCCCTTCCCTCTCACCCAGTTTACTTTTTTTTTTAAAAAAGAATTCATTCATTGTTGTACAGCAATGAATGAAAGGAAATCTAACTTTTCTGTAACCTTTCATTTAAATCACAATTAAAATAAAAAATTTTATTAAAAAATAAAAAAAGAAAATTTGGAAGGGTGTGAGTCAGGTGTATCCTTTCTTCACATCTATTCAGTTTGTATGCTGAGCTAATAATTTGTAAAGCCAGACTCGACGAAGAAGAATATGGCATCAGAATCGAAGAATACTCATCAACAACCTATGCTATGCTGATAACATAACGTTGCTTGCTGAAAGTGAGTCGGACCTGAAGTTCTTGTTGCAGAAAATCAAAGACCGCAGCCTTCAATATGGATTATATCTTAACATTAAGAAGGCAAAGGTCCTTTACCACTGCACCAGTGGACAATATCAAGATGCATGAAAAAGGCGAGCTCTGGTGGCCTAGTGGCAAGAAGCTGTACTTCAGTCCCAAAGGTGAGCGGTTTAAATCCAGCAGATGCTCTGCTGGAGAAGGAGGGACAGTCTCCTCCTGTACCAGTCAGATCCGATTTGACGGTACACACACACACACACACACACACACACACACATAATTAAAAAAAAAAGATACAAGGAAAAAGTGTTGAAATTATTAATGATTTAGTCTTGCTCAGATTCACAACCAACACTCTTAGTACCAGCAGTCAGGAGGTAAAGAGATATTACTTTGGGCAAGTCCACTGTCAGAGACCTCTCCAAAATACTGAAGAACAATGATGTCAGTTTGAAGACTAAAGTGTGCCTGATTCAGGCCATGGTCTTTTCAGTTACTAGCTAGGCATCTGAGAGAGGGGTAATAAGGATGATGAAAGAAGAAATGATGTCTTTGAGTTGTGGGGTTGGAGAAGCATTCTGCCAAAAGAATGAATAGGTATGTCTTAGAAAGGATGCAGCCAGAGTGTTCCTTGGAGACAAGGATGGCAAAGTGTCATTTTTCATACTTAGATATGTTGCTAGACGAAGCCATTCCTTGGAAATGGATATCAGGCTTGGAAGGGTAAAGGGTCAGCAAAAGAAAGGAAGACCCTCGTTGAGATGGATCAACACAGTGAGTGGAGCAATGGGCTCAAGTGTATCAGAGATCGTGAGGGTGGCACTTGGATAGGACAGGATTCAGTCTGTTGTTCAGAAGGTCACTATGAGATGTACTTGACTTGCCAGCACCTAACCACAACTACCAATGTACTTGACTGGCCAGCACCTAACCACAACTACCACTAACATACACATGCTCACACACATATACACATGACTTCACAAAAAGTAAACTAGCCATTTCTAGAGGGTGGGGTTAGAATAATAGTTTGAAAAGAGCTTACCCAAGACAGAGAAAGCCAAGGACAGGACTACTGAGCAAAGAGAAGAATACAGCAACCAAGAAATCAGGTCCTTGTATACACTGCAAATGTCAATTCAAATAAGAACTGCCAGCAGAAAAGCCAATTACCTAATATCTTTATTTTCAGGTTCTATATTAAAGGAATGTCTCTTCATAGATATTACTATCTATACAATTTCTCTGTATTTATAATACTGAAAAACTGCAAATAACCTAAATTATGGATACTTGACAAGTAAAACTATAATGTGAACTAAAGAGAATGTGATATCATAAACAATTGTTTAAAATAGAGAAACATGGAGAAACAAGCATAAGTGAAAAAAAAAGCAAAATACTGATATTTACACAATGTATAAATATTTTGGTTTAGATTATTACAAAATAATTTGTTTTAGATAATTACAAAATAATTACAAAAATATTTTGGTTTAGATAATTACAAAATTATCCAAGCTAGTCTCAAAGAAAAAGAATATGATTTCAAAATGCTATCAGCACCCTATTCTTGCATATAACACACCGTGTGCAAATAAAACACGAACAGGTATTACTTGAATAGCACATTCAGGAAACCACATGCAAGAAGTTATATGGTTTGCAAAACAAAATAAAACTCAAAAAGCTCCCTACCAAAACCCACAAAACAAAACTGCTTTACATACACATTATTTACATAAAGATATGGTACCATTATTCTCCATTACACTGGAAAAGTAGAAAGAAATGGAATATATTTTTCACTATAATAAAATACTGAGCTTAGCAAGGGAAATCTATGAAACTCTTGAGACACTCACAAAATAGTAGAATGTCAACAGTGAGAAAGTTACTTTTTTTAAAAAAAAAAAGACCATTTAAATATAAAATAACTTACATCTCTTATGGGATATCTTCTTTTTAAAGTATTTTTTGAATATTTCGCACTATTAAACAAAATACAAAAATGAGAGTTAAGACATTTTTCAAAGCATTTCTTTTTGTTTTACATTAACTTCTCTAATGAGTTGAAAGTTTCCAGAGCAAACTGATTTCTAAATCAACATTTATTCATATTGTTTTACTAACATCAATTACATTTCCTCAAAGTATTTTCTTTTGAAATTATGCCCTTAAATGAAAAAACATGTTCACTACTCTCAGTTGCTTCCAAATTATGGCATGTATCTTTCCAGCAGGTCTCCAAGGCTATAAATCTTTGCAGAAGACAACAACCTCATCTTTCTCCTGTGGAGTGGCAGATGGATTTGAATTGCAGATCTTTTGGTTAACAGCTCAACACTCTACACCACCAGGGCTCTTCACTAGCTGTTAAAACCAAAATCAAACTCAATTCTATCAAGTTGGTCACAACTCACTGTAACCCTCCAACAAGTTTCCAAAGCTGTAAATCTTTATATGGGCAGGACTGGCCATTCCCTCAAATAATAGGCCTTTGAAAACTCTTGAGTAACAGAAGAGCATTAGTGGATATAATGCAGGATGAATGTTAGAATTCAGTAAGAAGACATGAAAGAAAAAGACCAAAATGAATGTCCTTAAGAGTCTCTGAAATTTGTTCTAGAATGAAGAGTAGCTAAAGCAAATGGAAGGGATTCCTAGATCCAGGAAAAGACTGAAGTTAAGATATAAGTCTCTAAGGAAGGCTAGACTAATAGTGAAATGAGCTAAGGACCTTCCTCCTGAAGTGACAGAGAGCCTTTGCTTAGAACTGGCACCCTCAATTCAGACTTCCAAGCTCCTAAACTACAGAAGATCAAAGACTATAGCCTTCAAAATGGATTATATTCTAACATCAAGAAAACAAAAATCCTCACCTATGAACCAATAGTCAACATATGACAGATGGAGAAAAGACTGAAGTTATCAATTATTATTTTATTTTACCTGAATCACAACACCCAAGAAAACAGTAGTCAAGGAATCAAGAACTTCTCCAAACTGCTAAAGAACAGGGATATCAGATTAAAGATTAAGGTGTGCCTGCCAGATTCAAGCCATGGTCTTTACAACTACTTACTATACACCTGGACTTCCATCATCAACACTGGCTCTGGATCATATCATGTTGTTGTTGTTATGTGCTGTCGAGTCGCTTGTGACTCATAGCGACCCTATGTACAACAGCCCTAAACTCTGTTCTGTCCTGTGTCAATTGCACTGTCTCTGACACTCCCATCCCGATTACCCAGTCACTGAATCAATCCACCTCATAAAGGGCCTTCCCCTCCTGCGCCGTCCCTCTGTGTCAATCAATTATTTTTGGTATAGAGACTTGTATTCTGTCCATCTTTTTTTAATACTTCTTAGATCATCCAATATTTTGCTCATAGTATCTATAAGTACAGCAATTGAAGGCTTGAATTTATTTTTCAGTTCTATCAGCTTAAGAAGTGCTAAACAATTTCTTCCCTCTTTATTTTCCAATTCTATCTCTCTGTACATTCCATTGTAATACTTTGCTGTCTTCTCAAACTGTCCTTTATAATCTTCTGTTCAGCTTTTACTTTAGCTTCTCTTCCTTTGTTTTGGCTTCCCAACTCTCTAAGTCAATTTTCAGTCCCTTCTGATAACCATTTTGTTTTTTTCTTTCTCCTCTGTCTTTATAATGACCTTTTTGTTTTCCTCATGAATATCCTTGGTATCATCCCATCTAGTGAGTTGGATCTTTACTGTCTAATGCTTCAAATCTAGTCTTAAGATGATTTTTAAATTCATGTAGGATAGACTCAAGGGAATATTTTGGTTCTTGTGGACTTGTTTTCATGTTCTCCAGCCTCAATTTGAACTTGCACATGAGTAATTGATGTTCTGTTTCAGACAGCATGTGATCTTGTTCTGACTGATACGGAGCTTCTCCAACAGTTCCTGTCACAGATGCAGTCAACCTAATTCCAATGCAGTTCATCAGGTAAGGTCCCATGTGTAAAGTCAAGGTTTGTGCTTTTGCAACAAAAAAAAATGATTGAATGTACAAAATTCCATCATTTGATTTCCAGCCTCAATTCTGTCACCAACTGTATAGTTTCTAACTACCATTTCATCATTATTGATAGTCACCAATTGTCACTAACACATCTTGACTGAACATTTGGTCTGTTTTGGACTGCATTCTATTTCCTCCTTTTTGGCTTTAGCTGTTGGTGCACATATTTGAATAATAGTCATATTAACAAGTAATCGTTGTGTGTGTGTGTGTGTGTGTGTGTGTGTGTGTGTGTACATGTACCATCAAATTGGATCTGACTAGTACAGCGGGAGATTGTCCCTCTTTCTCCAGCAGAGTATCTAGTGGATTTGAACTGCATACCTCTGGGATTGCAGTGCAGCTTTTTAGTATCTTATCATGCACAACATTGTAGATGAGGACAGAACTTGAAATTGTCTTTTTAACTATTTCTGCAACACCCTTCTTTCTCTTTCATTCCCTGCATAGTATATCATGTGATTGTCTGATTCAAACTGGTCATCTCATCTCACTAATGCCTACAGTGTTACTGTTTGTGCATTCCATTTCATTTTTTATGACCTCTAATGTTCCTACATTAAAGATTCAATGAAAGACTTGGCAAAAAATAAGACCCCGGAATCAATGGGACACCAACTGACATATTTTAACTAACAGATGAAGCCCTAAACAAGCTCACCATTCAATGACACAAAATTTGGAGAACAGCTGACTGACTGGAAGAGATCTATATCTCTTTCCATTCCCAAAAAAGGTAGGCAAAATATTGCCAAACATTATCCAAAAATGGCTACAACAGTACATTGACAGAGAAAACCAGAAGTTCAAGCTGGATTTCAAAGAGAGTGCAGCACCAGGGATATCATAGCTAGTTTCAGCTAGAGTCTGGCTGAAAGCAGAGAACACCAGAAGAATGTCTATTTGTATTTTATTGACTATGCAAAGGCATTTGACCATGTGAATCATAACAAAATATGGCTAACATTGAGAATAATGGGAATACCAAAATATTTAAATGTGATCTTGTGAAACCTATACCTAGATCAAGAAGCTATTGTGTGAACACAGCAAGAGAACACTGTTGTTGTTGTTGTATGTGCCATCCTATGTACAACAGCTCTGAGCTCTGCTCTATCTTGAGCCAACCTCTTTGTCTCTGACACACCTAACACCATTACCCCAGTCAGTGAGTCAATCTGCTGCATCCAGGGTCTTCCTCTCGTGTGCTGTCCTTCCACACTTCCAAGTATGATGTTCCTCTCCAAAGACAGGTCCTTCCTTGCAACATATCCAAGTATGTCAGATGGAGCTTCAGAATCCTTGCTTCCAAAGAGCAGTATGATTTCATCCTCTGCAGGACAAACTTGTTTGTTCTCTTAGCAGTCCATGGTATATTCAATACTCTTCCCCAGCACCACAACACAAAGGCATCATCAATTCTCCTTCGAGCATCCTTAGTCATAAAAGCATTGTCCAGCTTTCTGATGCATAGCAAGTAATTGCGAAGAGCACGGCCTGGATCAGGAGCACCTTAGCCTCCAGACTGACATTGTTACTCTTAAGTACTCTGGAGAGGTCCTTGACAGGAGATTTTCCTAATGCAAATCTTCTTTTGATTTCCTTGCTCCTAGTACCAAGAATGTTGACTGTGGAGCCAAACAAATAATCTCAGTTTCTTCATCATCTATCATGATGCTGCCAATTGGCCCAGTGGTGAGACTCTTCATTTTCTTGTACTGAGCTTCAATCCATATTGAAGATTACAGTTCTTGACCTTCAACAGCAAATACCACAGATCCCCCTCAGTTTCAGCAAAAAAGGTTATGTCATCTGCATAATACAGGTTGTTGATGAATATTCCTCCAATCCTGATGTCACATTCCTCTGCACAGAGCCCAGCCTCGATGATGGTCTTTTACACATATAGATTGAAAAGGTATGGTGATAGGATGCATCCCTGATGCATTCCTTTTCTAATTTTGAACCATGCAGTGTTTCTTGCTCTGTTCCTGTTTCTTGGACTGCTTCCTGGTCCAAGTATAGGTTTCACAAAAGCACAATCAAGTGTTCTGAGAGTCCTATTCTTTTCAGAGTCAGCTACAGTTTGTTGTGATCCACACAGTCAAATGCAAGGGAAGACTACACGATTTAAAGTTAAGAAAGCTGTGTCTCTCCATATCTACTCCATTTGTAAGATAAGCAAATCATTAGAGAAGCTGGACTGAGTGAAGAAAAAGTGGCATTGGAATCAGAGAAAGACTCATCGATAACCTGTGTTAATAGAGATGATAAAGTCTTGATTACTGAAAGTGAGGAGGACTTGAAGCACCTAATGCAGAAGAGCAGACTCCAGCAGTCTCCAATATGGATTGCACCTTAGCATCAAAGAAACAAAAATCCTTGCCACAGAACCAGAAAAGACTGGAATAGTCAATGACTTCATCTTACTTGGACCCACAATCAATACCCTTGGTACCAGAAGTCATATCTGCAGACATATTGCAATGGGAAAGTCTGCAGTCAGGGACTTTTCCAAATTATTAAGGTGCAATAATGACAGTTTGAAGATTAAAATGCACTTCATTAAGGCCATGGTCTTTTCAAACATTTGCTATTCATCAGAGAGCTGGACAAAGAATAAGGATGACAGAAGAAGAATTTATGCCTTTGAGCTTAATGTTGGAGAAGAATACTGAATATCCCATGGTTTGTCAAAAGAACAAAGTTATATCTTGAAGAAATTATAGCAGGAGTGCTCCCTTGAGACAAAGATGACAAAGCTCCATCTCACATATTTTGGGCATGTTGTTAAAAGATGCTAATCCTTAGAGAAGTGTATCATGCTTGGAAAAATGGAGAGAAAGTGAAAGAAAGGAAGACCCTCAACCAGCTAGATTGTGACACTGATGGCTGTTAATGGTCTTGATTATATCAGTGGATGAAATAGGATAGTATAGG